CCTCCTTCCTCTCCCGGACGGCCTGAATGGAGGCAGCCATCCGTCAAAACAAGCTGGCTGGGAATGAGCCGCGAGTCTGGCTGTTCGTCTCACAGTGGGTGTTTTAGGGGGTAAAAGGGGGTATTTTTGTGTATTGACACCCCAAGCGCTTTCCGTTCCCTTAGACTTTTAGCCTGGGACGAGGAGATGATTGCAGCTGTGCAGAGAAGCCCTCCCTGACCCCACACAGCAGCCTGTGAGACTCTGAGCTGTCTCTGCTCACGTTCAGAACATTTTGTTCTTTGCCTGCCAGCTCTTGTGTATACTGCATATACTGCGTCTGTATTACTGAGTACGTTACTCACGTCGAAGGATCACAAATGTGCTGAATCGTTAAAATATAAAATAAAAGAAAAACATTGGAAATATAGCAGTAATGATATTGCGTCTCCTTTTTTAATAAAATAATCACACTTTCAGTAATTTACACCACAAGAATGAAAATACATATTATGTGTAAGAGTATGTAAATTATATTCCTCCTTATCAATTATAATGTTTCCTAATTGTGTAATTAATTTATGTTTAACTTTCATTTTAATACATTGTTTGTTTATTTATATATTTTAGTGTTATTTTTCATACTTTTATTTTAATATTTTATTTTATTTAACTACTACTACTAATAATAATAATAATCCATTTTATTATTATTAATATCTAATTTTATTCTTTTTAATACTATTTAATAACTATTTAAAAATCCACACTTTCAGTAATTCACAATAATGTGTAACATTGATGTTTCATAATTATTTTATTAATTATGTATTTATTTGTAATTTTATTATGTTTATTATTTTATTTATTTATTGTTTTGTATTTAATGTTACTATTGTTGATACTTTTTAATGTTTGATAATATTTCATAAATTGCAATTTACCTATTTAATTATTTAATATTTCATTTGTTTAATACTCTTTATTGTTCCTTTTTTATTTATGTATTTTAACTTATGATTATTATTATTATTCAATTTTATTATACGGTTTATTTATATTTAAGTTGATTATTTGTAGTCCTACATTTATTTGCTTTTTTTATAAGTCAGTAAAGTATTTTATTACCTTGAATTTCACATTCACTCCTGTCTTAAGATGTATGCACATGATTTTCATTACTTTTTTAATTATTATACAGTAATACTATTATTTTTATTCCCAGACCCAACTATTTCTGTGCTCAGATCATTCTTGTGTCTCGCAACCCTCTACATTGCATATATATATATATATATATATATATATATGTCAGTCTGGCAACTAAACCAAAAAATTTACTAGCTAATGGCGATTCAATTGCCAAGGTGTTCGTAGAGGGCTGTGTTGTTTCTGTGATTCTCATCATTGGTTAAGTGGCTCATTGAGTTCACAGCAGTGCAGTGTGTTCCTCTCTGTTCACCTCAAGATAATCAACACTGCAGCTTCTGTACTGACATACAATCATAGGTGAGCGGAAAATCAATGTTCATGTGAAAGTTCAACAGTCGTTTGATCAGGAAGGAACTAATGCATTAGAGTGCACCAGTATCTGTCAGATTTTAACAGAGCATTTGTCTCTTTTCAGAACTCATGTCTTGTTGAATCTAATAAAAGCTACCATTGTTTGTTTGCGTTGTGGAGATTCAGGCTGGTTTAGGAGTGTTTTCCAGGATTGTTGGGGAGGAGTGAGTGTTTATAGTAGAGCCCGACCGATATATCGTTTTGCCGATATTATCGGCCGATATGAGCCTGTCGCCGATATATCGGTATCGGCGAATATGCCGCCGATATGAAATTTTTTTTTACAGAACATATAATGCAGATAAAATACTTGAAATGGTGTAATTACTTAGTTTGTCCAGCAGAGTGCGCTCCATTGTTTGCTACTGGTGACCTGGATGAAACGCTTTAAAGCTTAAGTCAATGGAAAACCATTGAAACTTTGAACGGCCATATCTCCGTAACGGCGTGGCGAATCCGCACCAAATTTGGGGGATCTTTGACTGGTACTGTACTATAATATACACAAAGAATATCGGCCGATATATTGGTATCGGCCTTTTTTTACTCCCTAATATTGGTATCGGTATCGGCCCCAAAAAACCCATATCGGTCGGGCTCTAGTTTATAGGCTGTTATGTAAGCAGGAATAACATTTAGCTGATAATTGTAGTAAAACATGCTGGTTTTCCATTTATTTAGCACACTTTTCCAATCAGAGGCTGCTTTTTTTCTTATTATTATTAAACTTTTGTGAAAAGTCTTTTTTTTTTTTTTTATCTTCATATTAAGTTTATGTATAAAATCTTTTCAAATTATTAAATTAAAAGCCTAATATAAGATGTGAAACTGAAGTAGTTTTTACACTGTAAAAACATTTTTTTTTCAAAGTCAATTAGAACAAAGTACATTTTACAAAAAAAAAAGTATATATATATATATATATATTTCTGTCTTTCTAATTGTGTTTAATTTAATGTTACTTGCTGTTTCTTTAATTAATTGTGAAATTTTAAATATAATTTTTAGATATTTTATCTTTTTTTAATTATTAATTGCATTATTATTATTATTATTTTATTATGAATCATTTATTTATAGCAGATGTTATTTTTAAAACTGTTTAAGAACTAATTAATTTACACCACAATGTAATGTGTAACATGTAATGTGTAACATTATGCAAATTATATTAATTCATATCAATAATGTTTTATAATGTTTCATAATTTTATTAAAAAAACATTTCATTCATGTATTTTTTATAATACTTTTTAATACTTTATTTTTTTATTAGTTCACTTATTTATTAGTTTTCACATTAAATTAAGCGTGAAATTATGTAGAGTAGAAAGACTAAAGAAGCAATTTCTTGTCAAATGTATTATTTTTAGTATTATTTTTATAGTGTGTAGTATTTTATATTTTCAGTGTATCAATTTCTGTGTGAAAACTGTACACCAATTTTGTTTCAGTGTGTCTCAGAATAGCAGGCTAAAGGTGTCTATTTATGTAGTCCTTTTGTGAAAAATCTCACTGTAGTGTAAAGTACATTTGATCAGGTCAAACTCAGAAGAACAATTGGACAGACGGCATTATTGGATTGCTTACAGCCATAGTTGGCCGGGGATGAGATCGGATGACACCATGTTGCATCAGTAAATCATCTACTGGCCAGCTGTCCGACACATGGACCTGCGATTACAAATACAGCAGAACAACCATGTCGTCTGTGATTATAGTGCGCTTGAGTAGAATATATCCATTAGAAATATCCATCATAGAAACACTCTCAGGTTTGTTCTGTGGTGAGGGAGAACAAGTTTCCACGTGATGTTTGGAAGGAAGCCCACGTGTAGTTACACAAGAGTAAGTTTACCACAGCTACTGTAGAGCGATTCTGCTGACTCAGACCACACATCCGTCAACACCTCCATGTTATTGTGTATCAGCTGTCTGCTGAACCGCTGCGATCAATAACCACAGTTCACCTCTGTCTGGTGCGTTTCTTTTCCTCTATTAACGCTGGATTATTGTGCTTTCAAAGAAGTTATTCATGATGTTTGCTAAATACAGTGTTGGGGAAAGTTACTTTTAAAAGTAATGCATTACAATATTGCGTTACTCCATAAAAAAGTAACTAATTACTTGAAAAAAGTAATCTGATTACGTAACTTGCGTTACTTGTAATATATTACCCCCAACACTGGCTAAAAAAGCGTGGACGACAGAAGTAGTCGGAATTATGAGATATAGAATTCATAATTATGACATAAAAAGTATGACGGATAAGTGATAATAAATATGACCTTACAGTAAAAAAATGTATTTAAAAGGTAAAATTAAAAGATTAAAAAGTCTCAAATATGATGTAAGTCAAAATTATGAGATACCAAGTCATTTTAGTCATAATTATGACTAAAAGCCGCAATTATGAGATATGAAAGTATGAAATAAAAAGCCAAAATAATGAGATACTAAGTAATAATTATGGCCTAAAAAGTAGAAATTATGACATAAAAAGTTAAAATTAATGGATAAATATGAAAAGTCATAATTATGACAAAAGAGGATGAAATAATGAGATACTAGATGATAAATACAACTTAAAAAATTAAATTTTAGACTTAAAAGGTAAAATTATGATGAGATCATAAGTAATAATTACAACCTAAAAAGTAATAATTATGACATAAAAAGCCAAAATAATGAGATATTAAGTAATAATTGTGGCCTAAAAAGTAGATATTATGACATAAAAGTTGCAATGCAGTTAGGATAAATGAGATAAAAGGCCATGTAATTATGACTTAAAACGTCAAATTTATGAGATACCAAATAAAAATGACTTGAAATTGAACATTTTGACTTAAAGGGTAAAATTATGATAGTCAAAATTATGAAATAAATCAAAATTGAGATGCTACGTAATAATTACACCCTAAAAAAGTATAATTCATAATTAAGACAAGTAGCAATTATGAGATACGGAAGTAATAATTATGAGATACTAAGTAATAATTGTGTTTAAAACTTATAACCTAAAAAGTCAAAATTATGAGATTGACTTGTCATAATTATGACTAAGTAATAATTACAACCTAAAAAGTTCAAATTATGGCATACAAATTAAAAATGATGAGATAGAAAGTCAATTATGAGATACTTAATAATATTTGCAGACAATTTGGTACATTTATTAGATAATTATGACATAAATTGAAATTATGGGATACTATGAAATAATTGCACCCTAAAAAGTCATAATTATGACAAAAAGTCAAAATTATGACATTACATGACATTAAACTATTCCGACTTTTTCCGAATTTCTACTTTTTCTGTCATAACTTAGACTTTTTGTGTTACTTGGTATGCCATAATTAGATTTTTTCCATTCAGCAAAGCAGGATTTTGTTTGCTATTAGGTGAAAATGAGAGTATGTTTGAGTAAGCGTTTTGTTTTGCTCTCTCTACAGGTTTGCAGAGTCGGATTGCCCAGCGATGGAAATGAAAAAGGGACAGCGGACCCTGGAACTGTGAATTTCGTTTTGTGACCGCTTCCAAAAAGCAGAAGTGAAATCAAATGACTTGATATCTCTATTTAAAACCCCTCACAAGGAAATGCTATGCAGGCTTCTTTATTAACACGCTCGTTTTCTACTCCGCATCCTCATGCAAGTCTTCCAAACTGACCATGCGTTTTCCTGCTCAGATCTCACACGCGATGTTTTCACGTCCCTCTGCTGTGACTGTGCTGTTGTTTTGGACCAGATTTAGACACACACGTTGCACTATGTCCTCAAACAAATATATCCCGTCTGCACCTCGCCGTTTACCAGACAGTACAGATGTAAATAGTTAGATGTTCATAATGCAGCACTAGGATCGACCGAATGTGGTGAATGCTCTAAAATATTCACAGGACAGCAGAGAAGGAAGTTATTATAAAACTCACAAACATGAAGAAATACTGTGAACGATATAATGTGAATGACTGGGCACATAGTGACCCGTCCGTCTCTCCTGTAGGTGTAAATGTATCTGACCTGAACAACAGCACCTCTTTAAAAAAAAAAACACCCTTTGTGCCTTATTTTTACATTTTTAGAAAGTGTTTGGATTGGTTCTCATTGTTATTTTAATTCTGTATTTTTTTTTTTTTTAGGATTTTTTAAAAATAATTTTGTTTTATTCGATATGTCACGATTTTGGTTTAAGATTACAGTTCTCTTAACAAAGCATTAGCAAAAAAAATTAATAAATAAATATATATATATATATACAGGATCCATTAATGCAGTTACAAGTTTTGTCAAATAACTTAATTTAGTTGAACAGGAGATGATTTGATTTTCTATGCAGACTCGACTGTTGACGTTGTGTAAATTATTTGGTGAGGGATCAAATGAGTTTTGTTGTTGTTAACCTTGGTTTTCATCTGACTTCACATTGTTGTAGCAAAATGTCTGATTTCCTTTTGGCTCTTCACATCAGAAAAGCTTTAAAACGGGCGTTACATTCACATTGTCTGGAGTGTTTTGCTTCCGTTGGAATGGAACAGTTTGAAATGTTTGAAATGTGGCGCCTCACATCATGTGATTCCATACGGAATGTTGCATGATTCTGTGTCTATGGGTGCCGTTGAGTCACTGTAACTTGATTTCTCTTAACCCAAACACACTACTTTAGAGCTGTGCCAGATATCAGATAAAGACCTTTGTTAAAAATTTTTTTAAAAAAATGTTTTGAATTTAAAGATGCATGTTAATTGTACTCCTGATCACATTCAAGGTTGAAAGAATAGTTTTGCCGAAAATGTACTCTTTCAGGCCATCAGAGATGTAGATGATTGTTTCTTCATCAGATTTGGAGCAGTGGATATAGATCTTCTGCGGTGAATGGGTGCCGTCAGACTGGAGTGATGTGGATTAACGTTACTTGTGGATTATTGTGATGTTTTTATCAGCTGTTTGGCCTCTCATTCTGACGGCACCCATTCACTGCAGAGGATCCAATGGTGAGTTACATTTCTCCAAATCTGTTCTCATCCCATCTACTGTACATCTTGAAAGGATTGAGAAAATTTAGATTTTTAAGGTGAACTACTTAAAATACCTACATAAGAGGTCACGATAAGAAGCCAGTCGCTATTTTTTCCTGTGAACTGGACATTCGTACCAGTGCCAGTGAGAAATAGTTTTTCTTCTGTTCTATTCAGTGTTTTGGTTTACATACTCAGTGTTTCTACCTCACTTTTCCTGACTATCGTGCGTCGCATTTAGTTCGATCTTATGCCGTTCGCATCTTTTATCCGTAGCATCTCGAACAGACATTGCATTTCAATGTTTGTTTTTTTTTTGTATTAACTAGTTGCAGAGCAAGTTGAATCTTCATTTATTATAGTAAAACTAAAAGGTCTTTGCATTTATCGCACATGATCTCTTTATTGATGGATATAGTTCCTGATATACCTCCTCTTCAGTGTTTCAGGTGCTTTCTTCAGGTTTCTTCACTTCTAGTTGTTCTTCTATCAAGACAAAATCCACAGGAAGTTGATGTTTCTCAAAGGACGTTCAAGGTCTTGTTAGGATCAGACTTTTAGTGTAACTCACCTTGAAATACCAAAAAAGCCTCACCGACTCGCAGTAACGTCATGTTTCTTGTCCCTCAGGTGTTCACTGAAAAAGGTTTGCAGGTCAAACAAACAGGACGACTATTTAACAGTCCATTCTCTCTCGGAATACTAACCTAAGCAGAGATACGCACATTGACTAATCACTACAGACACGGAAACCAAACTGTTCAATTGGTTTCTTTCTGTCCGAGTGTCACAGATTATTTTGAGATTACAGAGGTTTTATATTGTACAAATGTCTTCTTCTTGTTAATATTGAACTGGGTCTGGTTTATGATGCTATGAGCCTTTTGATGTTTTTGCAAAGCAGTCTTTCTAAAATGTATGTAGTCTCTTGTTTTGTTGAAATAAAGAAATAGGAGTGAATATTTTAGTCTTGGTTATTGTGTATCATGAGGTTTTGCTTTATTGTCACAGTTATGTCTTTTTATCCTATAATTGCTGTCATAATTTGACTTTATTTCTACTTTAAATAATAGACTTTTCTGACAATTATGACATTTGTCATACTTTCTACATTTTATGCTGTAATTATGACTTTTTATCTCCTAATTTCTGTTTATGTCATAATTACGACTTTTTATCTCATAAGGACTATTATAATTTTATCTCTGTTTCTAATTTTTATTTGACTTCTTATCTCATAATTATGACTTCATATATCATGATTTTCACTTTTTATAGTCTAATTACTCTTTATATCATAATTTTGACTTTTATCCCAATGATTGTCATAATTTGACTTTTTATCTCTATTTCTGTTTTTTATGTGATTTTTAAATATATTTTTTGTTGTAATTTTGTGTTTTTATATAATTGACTTAATGTCATAGTTTTGACTTTTTATCTCCTAATTTCTGCTTTTTGTGATATAATTTCGACTTTGTCATAATTTCGACTTTTTATCTCCTAAATTCTGCCTTTATGTCAGAATTTCGAATTTGTGTATCATAATTTCAATTTTTTTAATCTCCTAATTTCTGCTATTTTTCCCCATTTGGTCTGCTTTTTATGCCATAACTTTGACTTTTGATCTCATTTTCTACTTTTTGTCATAATTTCGACTTTTTATCTCCTAAATTCTGCCTTTATCTCAGAATTTCGAATTTGTGTATCATAATTTCAATTTTTTTAATCTCCTAATTTCTGTTTTTTTCCCATTTGGTCTGCTTTTGACTTTTGATCTCCTTTTCTACTTTTTGTCATAATTTTGGCTTTTTACCTCATAATTATGGCTGTCGTAATTTCGACTCTTTGTCTTTTTAATTTCTACTGTTTGCATCTCCTAATTTCTCATTTCTTTTAGTCATTATTTTACATTTTCATGTCATTGTTGTGATGATTTTTATATATCTTTTATTTCTATTTATTTCTATCTTGATTATTGTCAGTTTTGCTGTGTTAAGCCTGCTATTGCTTCACAATGTTAGCCATAATTATAATTACACATTTGGCACATTCGAAAATATAATCGCTCAGTTGTGTAATGAAGTCGAGCGGTTGTAGAGAGCCGTCCTTTAGCATTCATGACAGTTATTCAGCTGCTGCAGGTACTACCTCAACTAAACTGTAATGGTTTTTATTTATTTATTTATTGTCAGAATACAAGGCTACTTTTTGGATGCTTCTTGGCAACATAATGCCACAGTTATGGAATGTTAACCAAATCTGCAATGAGAAAGAAAGAAACAAACGAACAAACCAGCAAACAAACAAAGATTTTATAATTTCATAATATTTTGCAAATCATTTTCACACAGATATTAAAATGATTGTTTATTTTATTATACAATTTGTATGAATTTTTAAAAAAACTTTTACAAATTTTATGTTTATTATATGATCAAATTTTCTAAAATAATTTTGACAAAACATTTCAGTAGAAACCATGTTTTAAAAGATAGAAACATTTTGTATAGTTTCATAACTATAAACAATTCTTAAATATATTTTCATGCACATATTGAAATTATTTTCCAATTTTGTTAATTACAATGTTATTATTCTGTTTCGATCATATTTTACAAAACACGCACATAAGACATTTTGTATAATTATATGATTTTAAAATCATTTTCTCAAATCATTTCTGTTTAGATCGTATTTTATGCATGCACACATACATAATTTCATATTTCATTAATAATAATTTTCACAAATAGATCATTTTACAACTTCATTTAAATATTTGAATATTTGAATCATGTATATACACACAAATGTTTAATCTTATATATATAATGTTACACAATAAATATTGAATATACTTACAATTATTCTACACTGTTTAGATCAGATTTTTAATGTTATTCATCTTGTTACAATGGATTTGCATAGTTTAAGATGAAAAGTCTGAAATGAATGGGCAAATAACCTGTACAGCTACACCGGTCAAAAAATGACCGTGAATTTAACGGTAAAAGACTGTAAAAATGCTACAGTAAAAACCTGTTAAATGGTTAACGGTAAATTCCCCTACTATATACGGTGAAAAACTGTATTGGACATTACATGTATTGGCCATTAATTTTACGGTAGTATACCGTTTTTGGAAGTGGAAAATACCATATAATTTACAGTGATTAACCGTAAATTGACATTCCCAGAATTCC